TTGATGAATTGACAAAGCAGGCTTCAGAAGGTGGGTAATAACAAACTTCTCTGAGCTAGAGGAGCATGTTCTAACTCAATGGAAGGAAGCTAAGAACCTTGAAAAAAGATTAGATGAAATGCTAACTAGAATAACCAGTTTTGAGAAGAACATAAATGACCTGATGTAGCTAAAAAACACAGCATAAGAACTTTGCAAAGCATACACAAGTTTCAATAATCAATTCTTCTGCTTGAATTGGTCAAGCAGAAGAAAGGATATCAGAGATTGAAGATCAGCTCAAAAGAGTGACCAAGCAATGTGAGATTATGTGAAAAGCCCAAATATACGTGTCATCAGCATACCTGAAAGTGAAGAGGAGAATGAAACCAAGTTGGAAAATACTCTACAGGATATAATCCAGGAGAACTTCACCAACCTAGCAAGGCAGGCCAACAATCAAATTCAGGAAATACAAAGAAGACCACAAAGATACTCCTCGAGAAGAGCAACCCCAAGACATGTAATTGTCAGATTCACCAATGTTGAAATGAAGGAAAAAATGCTAAGGGCAGCAAGGGAGAAAGGTTGGGTTACCCACAAAGGGAAGCTCATCAGACTAACAGCAGATCTCTTAGCAGAAACCCTTCAAGCCAGAAGAGAGTGGGGGCCAATATGCACATTCTTAAAGAAAAGGATTTTCAACCCAGACTTTCATATTCAGCCAAACTAAGCTTCATAAGTGAAGGAGAAATAAAGTCCTTTACAGACAAGCAAATGCTGAGAAATTTTGTACCACCTGGCTTGCCTTACAGGAGCTCTTGAAGGAAGCACTAACATGGAAAGAAACAACCGGTACCAGTCACTGCAAAAACATTCCCACTTGTAAAGACCATTGACAGTATGAAGAAACTGCATCAACTATTGGGCAAAGTAACCAGCTAGCTTCTTAATGGCAGGATCAAATTCACACATAACAATATTAACCTTAAATGTAAATGGGCTAAATGCCCCAATTAAGAAACACAGACAGGCAAATTGGATAGAGTCAAGACCCATCAATGTGCTGTATTCAGGAGACCCATCTCACATGCAGAGACAAACACATTCTCAAAGGGATGGAGGAATATTTACCAAGCAAACGGAAAGCAAAAAAAAAAAAAAAAAAAAAGCAGGGGTTGCAATACTAGTCTCTGATAAAACAGACTTGAAACTATTAAATATCAAAAGAAACAAAGAAGGGCATCACATAATGGTCAAGGGATCAATGCAACAAGAAGAGCTAACTATCCTAAATATATATGCACCCAATGCAAGAGCACCCCAGATTCATAAAGCCAGTTCTTAGAAACCTACAAAGAGACTTAGACTCCCACCCTAAATAATAGTGGGAGACTTTAACACCCCACTGTCAATATTAGACAGATCAACAAAACAGAAAATTAACAAGGATATCTAGGACTTGAACTCAGCTCTGGACAAAGTGTACTGAATAGACATCTACAGAATCTTCCACTTCAAATCAACAGAATATACATTCTTCTCAGCACCACATCACACCTATTCTAAAATTGACCACATAATTGGAAGTAAAACACTCCTCAGCAAATGCACAATAATGGAAATCGTGATAAATAGTCTCTCAGACCACAATGCAATCAAATTAGAAGACAGGATTAAGAAACTCACTCAAGATGGCACAACAACCAGGTAACTGAACAACCTGCTCCTGAATTAAAAAATGAATGAAGGCAGAGATAAAGATGTTCTTTGAAACCAATGAGAACGAAGACACAATGTACCAGAATGTCTGGGACACATTTAAAGCAGTGTGTAGAGGGACATTTATAGCACTAAATGCACAAAAGATAAAGCAAGGATCTGAAATCGACACCCTAACATCATAATTAAAAAAAACTAGAGAAGCAAGAACAAACAAATTCAAAAGCTAGGAGAGTACAAGAAATAACTAAGATTAGAGCAGAACTGAAGGAGATAGAGACAAAAGATCATTCAAAAAAATCAATGAACCTAGGATCTGTTTTTTTTTTAAAAGATCAACAAAATAGATAGATTGCTAGCCAGACTAATAAAGAAGAAAGGGAAGAATCAAATAGATACAATAAAAAATGATAAAGGTGATATCACCACCGATCCTATAAAAATACAAACTACCATCGGAGAATACTATAAATACCTCTATGCAAATAAAACAGAAAAATCTAGAAGAAATGGATAAACTACTGGACACTTATACACCCTCTCAAGACTAAACTATGAAGAAGTTGAATCCTATTAGAATGGCTCCTATAAAACAGACAATAGTAACAAATATTGTGCATGGTGAGAGATAGGCAATGATGTGCAGAAAGGGGAACCCTAGTACACTGTGGATGGGAGTAAATTAGTACAGCCACTATGGAGAACATTTGGAGGTTCCTCAAAAAACTAAAAATGTAGCTAGCATATGACCCAGCAATTTTACTACTAGGTATATCCAAAATAAAGGAAATCAGTATATTGTAATATATGTGTCTATGTGTGTGTGTAAAATATATATATATATATATATATATATATATATATGTGTGTGTGTGTGTGTGTGTAAAAAAAATATATTTTCTTTTCCAAAAGAAAAGAAATCATGTTTATGATTCCTGAGAAAACATGGGAAAGGAATGCCCATGTTTACTGTAGCACTATTCACAATAGTTGAAATTTGGAATTGGGCTGGGTGAGGTGGCTCACACCTGTAATCTCAGCACTCTAGCACTTTGGGAAGCTGAGGCGGGTGGATCACTTGAGGTCAGGAGTTCGAGACCAGCCTTGGCCAATGTGGTGAAACCCCATTTCCATTAAAAATACAAAAATTAGCCAGTGTGATGGCACACACCAGCTACTCAGGAGGCTGAGGAAGCAGAATTGCTTGAATCCAGGAGCCAGAGGTTGCAGTGAGCCGAGATCATGCCACTGCACTCCAACCTGGATGGCAGAGCAAAACTCTTGTCTTAAAAAAAAAATGGAGTTAACTTAGTGCTCATCAGTGAATTAATGGGTAAAGAAAACGTGGTATATATACTCAAAGAAATATTTAGTCACAAACATGAAATCTGGTCATTTGCAGCAACATGGATGGAAATAGAAGTCATTATATTAAGTGAAATAAGCCAAACGCAGAAAGACAAATATCATATGTTGTCACCCACATGTGAGAGCTAATAAAGTGAATCTCATGAAGACAGAAAGTAGACTAGTGGTTAGCCTCCCAGTAGGCTGGGAAGGGTAGTTGAAAGGGGGAGGATGATGGGGATATTGAATAATGGGTACAAATAGACCGTTTAATAGAAGAAATAAGACCTAGCATTAGATTGGTAGAGTGACTGTAGTTTACAGTAATCTATTGTACATTTGAAAATAGCTAGAAGAGAATGATTTGAATGTTTCAAGCAAAAAGAAAAGACAGTTTTAAGGTAATAGATATCTCAAATACACTGATGTGGCCATTAAAAATTATGACTGTATTATCACATGTACTCCCAAAATATGTACATTCCTTAGGCATTGATAAAATTTAAATAAACAAAATTGCTAAAAGATGAATATTGATACATTGGCAAATGTTAAAAAAAAATCACATTTTTTAAATTAAATCAGCATGAACTAAATGCCACATAGCATAGTGAAGTTTTGTTTTTGTTTTTTACTACTATTAAGTTTACTTCTATAAAGTTAGCCAAACTGCAGGATCTAAGGGAACAGTTCCCATAAGACTTCTCTCATTATCAGTAAACAAAATTGAATTCTCTTTATATTTCTCAAGTCAAAAAGGTTAAAGGTGCACAAATTAGTGTGGGGTTGCTGTTTTTGTTTTTGCCTTTTAAATTTTTTTATGGAAACTCATGCATTTGTTTAATTTGGCAAGTTTTAATTTTTTTAATTTCAAATTTTCATTTGACATACTGATTTGCAGTAAGTTGGCCATTTGGGAAATTGGTTGGGGGCAAATTGACTAGCACTGCAGCTTAGTGGCTCTCAAATTCAAGTGGGCATGAGAGTCACCTGAAGGTGACTGTAGTGGGGCCCCGAGAATCTGTACTCAACTATGTTCCCAGGTGATGCTGTTGTTGCTGGCCCAAGGGCTACACTTTGAGAACCACTGGAATGTAGTGTGTGATACACGGCTGATATGGCTAGGCTTTGTGTCCCCATCCAAATCTCATCTTGAATTATAATCCCCACAGTCCCTATAATCCCCAAATGTCAAGGGAGAGATCGGGTGGAGAGTAGTTGGATAATGGGGCAGTTTCCCTCATGCTGTTCTTATGATAGTGAGTGAGTTCTCAAAAGCTCTGATGGTTTTATAAAGGGCTCTTCCCCTTCGCTCAGCACTTCTTCCTGATGCATTTCTTTTTCCTGATACCTTGTGAAAAGGGTGCCTTGCCTCCCCTTTGCCTTCTGCCATTATTGTAAGTTTCCTGAGGCCTCCCCAGCCATTCTGAACTGTGAGTCAATTAAACCTCTTTTCTTTATAAATTACCTAGTCTCAGGCAGTTCTTTGTAGCAGTATGAAAATGAACTAATGCAATAGTAGATGAGAGGAACCAGCTGTTTCATTCAACTGAGGCAGAAAAAAGCAGAGAAGTCAGGAGATGAGGCTTTTCATGTCCTGTTGGGCAGGATGTTTGGGATTGCTGCATATAACTTGGTAACAATGAGAATCCAGGCCAAAGAGAAAGAGTTCAGTGAGCCAAAACATCAACACCTCAAAATGAGACTGTGTATTATTTATAGAAGTACTGTATATAGTGAGGAATGCCATCCTGAGTGTGTTGTTATTGTAACAGATTAGACATCAAAATGATTTGCAGTGGTTTGTGTGAATGAAGCTTTGTAGAAGCATTTCAAAAATCAAAATCAATTAATAATTTGTAAAACTTTATTTCCCAGGTCTTTCTAGGACTTTGTCTTGCTCCCTTGCTTTTAAAGTCTTGTAAGTATCTTTCTCTCTTTCCTTACCTCAGGCAATGTTCAGTCTTTGTATGGTGGAAAGTGGAGCTGATGAGGTTAATTTGCACGGTGTGACCAGCCTCGGCTTAAAGCAGGCTCTGGAGTTTGCATACACAGGACAGGTATGGTATTAAATGTGATCTGAAAGGTTTAATTTTTTAACTACACCTAACCAAAGGAGATTATCCTTAGGGTATGAGATTTAGTATCGTTCTTCTTACTCATTTTGATGTTAAAAATAAAATTCACATCACTTAATTTTATAACTAAAGTTATGGAAAGGTAAGTAAAGCAATTTGATTTTTAATATGATCCAGTGAACACAGTATTTTAAACTTAGTGCTTGCTGGTGTGATTTTTTTTTTTAATATCTTAAAGAACTATCATAAGGGAAAGGGTTTGCAAGATAACGGATTCTCATTGTTATCACTGAAGCTCAATGACTTAATCATGGCTTTATTGTCTTAAAAACAAGGCAAAAGAATTTAGAGCCACCAAAATTCATGTCCAGCATCTTGGCACCATGTCCTCCATATGTCTCAGGGTCAGAATTGAAGGCATTTAGCTGAGTAGATTGTGATGGTTTGAAATCCTAATGTATTCATGACTAAAATTGTTATAGAATTTATAGGACATCAGAAGATATCCATTTACATTTGAGAACTACTCAAATAATTCAAATACAGACTGGACGTTTAGCTCCTCTTTTATAAATTTTTGTTCTTTAATACCGTTTTATCCAACTTGGATTCAGTATCTTCTATGCAAAAATGAGCATCTTCTCTTGAGAGGCTCACATCCTAATGAGAGAAAGAGAGGCAAATACATAATTATAATTCCTCACTGATATTGGAGTCATAACAGAAGAAGAATACAAAACAGAGTGGGATAAGGCTGCATGTGGTCAAGTATGGGTACCAGTACAGAATTTTACAGAGAAGGTGGTATTTGGGTCTTGAAGAATGTATGAGAGCTCATTTTCGTCTGAATTTTATTTTTATTTAATTTTATTCTTAATTGGCAAATAATAATTGTATATACTTATGTGATGTAAACGTGATGTTCTGATACGTGTTTACAATGTGGAATGATTAAATTAGGCTGATTAACAAATCTGTCACCTCACCTACTTATTTTTTTTTGTGGTGAAAACATTTAAAATGCATTCTTCTAGCAATGTTGAACTATACAATGCATTATTATTTATTATAGTTATCTTTCTGTGAAGCAGATCACTACAGCTTATTACTGCTGTCTAGCTGAAACTGTATACCCTTTGATCATCATCTCCCCTTAGTCCATCCACCTCTGCTACAGTTTGGATGTTTGTCCCCTCCAAATCTCATGTTGAAATTTGATATTGGAGGTGGAGTCTGTAGGCAGATGTTCAGGTCACGTTGTTAGGTTCTTCATGAATAGACTGATGTCCTCCCTCAGGGTGTGAGTGAGTTTTCACTGTTAGCTACTGTGAGAGCTAGTTATTAAAAAGAGCCTAGCACCTCCTTTCCACTCTCTTGCTTCCTCTCTCATTATGTGATCTCTGCACATGCCAGCTCCCCTTCCCCTCTGCCATGAGTGGAAACAGCCTGAAACCCTTACCAGAAGCAGATGATAGAGCCATGTTTCTTGTTTAGGCTGCAGAATCATGAGCCAAATAAATCTTTTTCTTATATAAATTACCAAATCTCAGGTATTTCTTTATAACAACACTCAATGAACTAAGAAAACCCCTCCCCTAGCCTTTGGTAACTATTATTCTACTTACTACTTTTATGAGTTCAACATTTTCAGATTCAGCATATAAGTGAGATCATGAAGTATTTGTCTTCCTGGCTTATTTCCCTTAACATAGTATCCTCAAGGTTCGTTCATGTCATTGCAAATGACAAGATTTCTCCCCTTTTTAAAGCTAAATAGTAGTACATTGTCTATATATACCATCTTTTCTTTATTTATTCATCTGATGATGGACAAGCAGGTTGCGTTCATATATTAGTTATTGTGAATAATGCTGCAGTGAACATGGGAATACAGATATCTCTATAGCATACTAATTTCAATTCCTTTGACTATTACCCAGAAGTGGGATTGCTGGTTCATATGTTAATTTTACTTTTTACGTTTTTGAAGGAACTCCATACTGTTTAACATAATGGCTATATTAATTTACATTCCCACCAAGAGTACACAAGGGTTTCATTTTCTCCACACCCTCACCAATGTTTGTTACTATTGTCTGTTTTATAGGAGCCATTCTAACAGGGGTGAGTTGATATCTTATCATGGTTTTAATTCCCATTTCCCTGATGACTAATGATGATGAGCATTTTTTTTCATATACCTGTTGGCCATTTGTATGTATTCTTTTAAGAAGTGTCATTAGGTCATTTGCCAATTTTTTGATTGGGTTATTTATTTTCTCATCTTCTTGTGATGGCTCTAGCCTTGTTCTTTTTGCACAAGATTGCTTTGAATATTCAAGGTCTCAATTGTGGTTTTTTTTTAAATTTTGTTTCTTGTCTAATTTCTCTGGCTAAAACTTCCAGTACTCTATTGAATAGAAGTGGTCAAAATGGGCATGCCTGTCTTGTTTCTGATCTTAAAGAGCTTTCAACTTTTCACTATTGAGTATGATGTTAACTCTGAGCTTTTCATATGTGGCCTTTCTTGTATCGAGACACATTATTTCTATGCTTAACTTGTTGAGAGTTTTTATCGTGATAGGATGCTGAATTTTGTCAAATGCTTTTACTGAATCTATTGAGATGATCATATGGTTGTCATCCATCATTCTTTTAATATGGTATATTACATTAATTTATTAATATTTGCATAGGAATCATCATTACATCTCAAGGATAAATCCCCCTTGATCATAGTGAATGATTATTTTAATCATTCACCGTGTTTTGAATGTGGTTTGCGAGTATTTTCTTGACGAGCTTTGCATCCATGCTCATCATGGATATTGGCCTGGAATTTTTTTTTCTTGTAGTATATTTGTCTGGCTTTGGTATGAGAATAATGCTAGTCTTATAAAATGAATTTGAAAGTATTCCTTCTTTAATATTTTGAAAGAGTTTTAAGAAAGATTAGTATTAGTTCTTCTTTATATGTTTGGTAGAATTCTGCTGTGATGCTATAAGGTCCTAGATTTTTCTTTAATTGGAGATATTTTTTATTAATAATATTGACATAATCTCCTTACTTGCTTTTGGTCTGTTCAGATTTTTTATTACTTTGATTCAGTCTTGCTAGGTTGTATGTTTCTAGGACTTCATCCATTTCTTCTAGATTATCTAATTTTTTGGTGTATAATTGTTCATAGCAGTCTATTATGATCTTTTGTATGTCTGTAATATCTGTTGTAATATCTTCTCTTTCATTTCTGATTTTATCTATTTGAATCTTCTCCCTTTTTTCTTAGTCTGGCGAAAGTTTTGTTGATTTTATCTTTACAAAAAATGAAGTCTCACTTTCATTGATCTTTTCTATTGTCTTTGTAGTCTTTATTTTTCACTAAATTTTCTTTAGAGGCTTATTAAAATATATGATATTACCTCTTCTCTTTTCTGAGGTTAGTAGAGTTTAAGGTATGTGTCTTAGAATAATTGAGGCAACTCTGGCAGCTAGAAGAAAACAGTAAGTATAAAGGAAACACGCCATCAATCAAGTAGAAAGTATAGCAGGAGAAAGAAAGGTGATGGATCACAAACTCAGGATTAGCCCAGCCAAATTTCAAGCCTTAGGAAATTAAGGCAGGCCATTATAATTCACAGAGTTGCCAAAATATATTCCTAGTGAGGTGAGTAAATCATGTATTTTGTGTTTTTTGGTTTACAGATATGAAGCAAGATACCATCTCTAACTTATTATTTCTCTTTTTATACCTGAATTACATGCAGTCACACCTGCATTTGCCCATCTCCACAGTAAGACTGAAAACCAAGAGCTCCTACTTCATAGGTGTGCGTGGGGATGAAGTAGCAAAAATTTTTTTTGTAAAACTACCCAAGTAAATAATATCTGTACTTAGCTGTGCTAGCAACTAAATGGTTTAAGCGTAGAGGCCTTTAAAGCATGTTTGAAATATTAGGAAACTGAAGAGCAAAAATTCCTGGGAAGGCTGAGTTAAAATACACATGCATATATATGTGGCTGCCTTATTGCTTGCTTGACTGCTTTGTGATTTCCTTCAGAATGGATAAGTTGGATGTGTGTGTGTGCGTACGTGTGTGTGTGTGTAATTCCTTTCACACAGAGGGTCTGTGAAATGTTAACTGAAGTGAAGATAGCAGAAAAGGAGCTGACTTTTTGAAGGGGATGAAACCTACTTGGAAAGTAGGAAGATATTTGCTGAAGGACAGCCATATCCCATTGCCCAGGAGTCATATGCCTCAGATGCTTAAATTCCACTTTTATGAGAAAAAGAAGGCCAAATGAGATGGAAATATATCTGGTGTAAGTGCCTTTAAAAAGAAAGAAAGAAAAGCAAGTCCTAGGGCCAGACCTGAAGTTGTGTTTATTCTGTCCAAACAGCAGAGACTTATTCTGACTGCATTCACAGAGGCATATGACAGCCTGTGGTATATGGCAGTAATTCATCTGTTCAGATTGTGTGCTGAGGGGACAGGAAGGGGGCTGACATTTCCTGGAGCACCTTCTGAAAGAGCCAGGGACAGCACAGCACAGCACTACGCCCTTTACATATGCTGTTTAAGCAATTTTTTTTTTTTTTTTTTTTTTTTTTTTGGAGTGGCGCTCAGTCGCCAGGCTGGAGTACAGTGGCGTGATATTGGTTCACTGCAACCTCCACCTCTGGGTTAAGCAATTCTCCTGCCTCAGCCTCCCCAGTAGCTGCAATTACAGGTGCGTGCCACCACACCCAGCTAATTTTTGTATTTTTAGTAGAGATGGGGTTTTACCATGTTGACCAGGATGGTCTCAATCTCTTGACCTCATGGTCCACCTGCGTTAGCCTCCAGCTCTAAGGAATGCTGTGACCCTACCTGAAAGGTGACAAGCCCAGGGAGATGCAGTGAATTGACTAAGATCATTCTCTTATTTATTTTGGCCTAGTTAGTCAAACCTAGTCCTATAAATTTCAAATCTGTTGTTCATT